CATACAGCCCATCCCGCCCTCCCATCACCCTCATTTTAACCTGGGTCCCGATGAGGACGTAAGGCACATGCGGCATGCAGTCTTTCAGTTCCGGGACCCACTCCTCCTGGACGTTGTGGTAAGAGGCAGGGTTTACGACAGAGAAGCAGATGAGAAACACATCGGTGTTGGGGTAGGAGAGTGGTCGCAGCTGGTTGTAGTCCTCCTGTGGGAAGAAAAGAGAAGTCGGTACAGGCTGAGGGCAGTCTGTGTGGTTCTTGGGACTTGTGCAGGGAAGGGCCCACAAGTTGCCGCTGGTGAGCCACACCCTTCGTTGTGCACAGAGATCAGGTATTTCCTATTTCAGATAAACTTAGAAATGTAAACAACTTTATTGAGGTACAATTTACACACCATAACGTCCATCCACTTCTTTCTCCTTTACCCTGTATATTAATGAATAGCCATCATGTTTTGTTTCATACAGTTAAGGGAGTAAGCACATTCGTCTACTCACACAGTTACTGTTTTTGTTTTTGTTTTTGTTTTTTTTTTTTTAACCGATGACAGCACCTAAAATCTACCTCTACAGCTCATTTCAAATACACCACTCATGACTGCCGGCTGTAGTTCTTGTGCTGTGAACTGTAGCTTCTAGAATTACTCATTCTCCCTAATGGGACCTTGTGCTTTGACCGATATCTTTCCACTTCCTACTCCTTCTTGTCCCGGGTACCAGTCTACTCGGCTTCTATGTCTTCAGAACCTCACTGGTTTAAACAGAGCAATTAGCAGGGATGAGTGCAGTTCTCCTGGAACGAGTATTTAAATGACTAGGTCATCGAGCCACTCAGCTTCTCCTAAACAATTAAAAATTGTTTTCAAATTTAACATAGAGTAAGCTAAAATACAAAGCAAAGCATTGTTGCCAAATGATATACATCTGTTGAAGAAATACATTTGGGAGGTCTTCGTAAATTAGACCCAAGAGGCACAGCGTGGTTTGTTTGTTTGTTTTTTCAATCCAGTTGTTTAGTCGACAAGGAGTTTCAGGTCTCTCTATAAAAGGTAATTGTATATTTTAATAGAATTAACATGTAGCCAATAGTAATGTGTGCTAAAATGCTTCCTCCTTATATGTGCATCCATATGCTATCACATATATCGCACACACACACATCAGTACAGTGGTATTATGTACACATACATATTCTATGTATGTGTGCAGATGGAGCACTTTATTCTGAGCATAGCTTGGCCATTCCCACCTCACAAGGTCAGCACTGTTGATGAGCCCTCAGCTTTTCTGTGGGCATTTACTACAGTGACTTCTATTAGGGTCATGTAGGGTCCTGATGCATGCTAAGCTCTACAAGTGAAGAGACCTGGCATCATTATTTGTTACTCTTCACAACATTCTATGTCCTCTGCCATGGTCCTTCTCCTCAGATTATCACAAACAGATCAGAGACCAGGTTGATCAGGTTTTCTCATCTTCTACCTATGCTCTGTCCACAATAATTTTATGAAGAAGGGTGACTCATCGAAAAAAGTGGGGTTTAAGTGCTGGAAAGATGGCTCAGGACCTGGGTTCAATGCCCAGAAACCTCACGACAACTCCCAACAGTCTGTAACTCAGGTTCTAGTGGTACAGAGCCATCTTCTGGCCTCCATGGGCATAGACACATAGTGGTGCAGACACATGTGTAGGTAAACACTAATACACATAAAATAAAATTGTTTTAAAAGTAGGGGTTTACAATGACCCCCAAGTGAGAAAATGTTCCAACTCCTCCCTCCTCTGAGGAAATTAGAACCTCTGGAGCATTGGGCTGGGTATGGAAGAACCCTGCACTGATTGGTCAGGTGTGCCCCTTGGGTGGAGAAAGCTGATTGTATGTAGCACCATCGTTTTCACCATAAGAACACGAGACTTGGGATCCTCACCAAGGACCAGGCACCACTGAAAGAAGTACATGCAATGTCTTTTGGAGTTCTCCCAGAAGCATTAGAAAGATAATTCAGTTAGCATTCACATTTCACAGAAAAGGAGGTCAAGTACCAGGGCTACCAAGTCATTGAATACCAAAAATGGATACCAAAAGGAAACATTTTTTGGTGCCTCCAGACCTAGCTTTTGATTTGGAATGCTATTGCCATATCTCTGGATTTTAGATGAAAGATTAAATTTTGTTTTGTTTTGACTCGCCTATTTAGGAATACGCATAGATTAACATGTTACTGCAGGGGTGCATGTGTTCGATATTGGGCACTGGCTCCAAATTGCCACAAGATGGCAGCAGACACTGTATATTTAAAAATCTCAACTCCGGAAGCAACCAAACCAAAACAATTGGATTAGTCTCAGAACTAGGCAAGGGAGGAGCCATAACTGGTGATCTGAAAGGATAGTGTTTATTTATTGATTTGCTAGCCATTGAATAAAAATGCTGTTTAGATCATGGGAAGGTTGGGGAGGTGACAGATATGTTCATTTGCTACAGTCCTTCAGCCCTTCAGCACAGGGATTCCTGGTAGCCTGAGCTTTCTGGCTTCACAGTGCTTTGTGTTCTAGTTCTTTCTTTCTTTTTTTTTTTTTTTTTTAGTTTTTTATTTTTTTCTTCTGTAGGAACTTTAGGCCTGCTGTGTAATTCCACTTAAAAGGATTGATTACTCACTGGAACTCACTGGATGTGTGGCTCTGTCAAGGATGCTGCATGAACTGCACAAAGTAATTAAGAACAGGGAGTCAAGTTGGGGAAAGAGAATGAAAATACACCAAACAATTCCATGTATGTGAGGTTGCTCTGTCTCTAGTAGAGTATTTATGTGACTGAACTGGAAAATTCCAGTGTCAAGTCCGAAAGACCCCTAGATTCGAGTTAGTATAGTAATTTCCAAAGGACGGTCCGTCCTCAGGCCAGCAAGACAGGCATCTGCTAAGAGCTCCTTCAGATTGTACACTCCCAGGTGTCCAAAGCTTAAACACATGGCTCTGTCAGCCTGACACAGTTCTGACGCAGCTCAAGGTTTCTGGGGCTCTGGGCAGAAACCAGAGCTGTTTTTCATTTCCCTTTCACCAGTCATACAGCTCTCAGACTGGGACATCCAATAGATTTCAACAGGACGATAGAGAAAAATATCTTTCAAAGAAGGTTTATACCTAGCTGGCAGGAGCCTACCACCCTTGGGTGGCTGTGACTAGGAACTATGGTAGAAGTCTAGGATTAATAAAAAGAACGCCCAGGTTGGTGATTCGTGGAGGTTGGGTGTTTGAACTCATACCCACTGATGGCTTGGATGCATTTTTGTGATGAGGCACACTTGGACTGTAGGTTATGGTCACATGTGCAGAGGATGTCAATCAGCCATGGGGAAGCTCTAAATGGTCCTTATGGCGTTGAGGTGCCTTCTAAGGCTAAAAATGACTGGACAACAGGCATTTTGTGCTTCTCAGAGAGACAGTGTGTTAATCTATAAAAACCACTAGACAGTGATTTGGATGACTAAGCTGGATACAAGGGGACCTGGGTTAGGGCAGAGTAGGCAGGGACTTGGGACTGTAGGTTTTTGAGTACAGAGGTAAGTTTGTCAAGTGTGGCCACTGCGGATGACTACTTCAAAAGTTCTCAGAAACACTCAGCACAGACTGGCCAGTCATCCCCGCCCCAATACGTTCATGAGCGGCTGTGTCACGAAGGGACAATGGTGGAACCACGAAGCCATTAGTTCTCCTTGCGTTTGGATCACAAGGAACTCATTGCCCAGTGGGACTGCGCTCAGCACCAGGTCTGGAGGGAAGTCTAGAATGCGCATGTCTGGTAAATGCTCAGGGGCTGCTCTCTTGTGTAGCAAGGAGAAAAGCATTCAGCCAGGCCCTTGCCTCAGACCCACAAGCAGCTGGGAATAGAATTCTGCTTTCTTTGCTCTGTGAGCTTCCTGACATTTATCCCAGGGTTGTCAGCACCAACCTTGCTTTTCATACTTTCCCTGCAAGTCAAGCTTGACTAGGGAAGCAGGACCGGGTGGGAGCTCAGGGTGTTGCCCAAGAGCATGACGGGTGGAGATGAATTCAACAATTCAACGGTTTCAAACCCTACCTCCCTTGTCACGGCGACTTTGGTATAGTTTGGGGTGAGTTCTCTCTGCCTCGATTTCTTTGTAAAGTGTAAAGTGCTCTTATGTTGTGAGACTACAATGCTGTAACGTGTATGAATCCTTGGAATGGGCCTCCAGATACAGTGAGAAAGTTAATGATGGAGGGAAAGGAGTCTGTCCCTTATTCAAAGCCAACAGCAGGGGCAATTCCTGGAACCCCGCCCCTGTGCTCACTGGATACCAGAGATGCCGCTGAAAGTCACTTTTCTGAACTAAGCTGTAATGAGGTTCAAATATTTGTGGACTGTGATTCGTCAGTGTTCTCCATCTCCATTTTTCCTGACTAGGGCAAAGGTAGGAAGTTACTTTTACCAATAGCCCGTCACGTGGGCAGCATTCTCCAGACAGCATACTCCTAGAAACCACGCTGAGATACGTGGGATGAGAAAGTCTGAGTTGCTTATTGAGCAGAAAACATTTATTCTGAGGTTTTAGGCAAACTTTCCATGGAGTGTTGGTGCCAGGCCCCGTGCTCCAGATGGCCCTGCTGGCTCAGCCAATAGTAAAGAGGAAGTCTCATGTGCTTCCAAGTGGACCTGGGGTTGCCATTAATGAGCCCCAGCTGCACTTGCCTCCTGCCCACTCACATGCTTCTGAAGAAGATGTCCTGGGGGGAGGAGGGGCAGGAGCTTCAGATATCAGGTCCCGGTGAAGGCGTGTGGCTGCAGCCCCCAGCCAGTGTGGTCTTCCTGCTCCCACAGTCATTGGTGGCAGCTGAGCTGCTGTGGGCTGTGGTTTGGCAGTGAGAGATACCATCCTATCCTCAGACAGGGTGCAGGCCGTCTTGAGGGGCTCATGTGCAGGGAACTCAGGCTCACTCTCTGATGAGAAACTGGTATCTGATTAGACAAATAGCAGAGGAGGTGGTCCCTGGCTCCCGACCCCAGGGGACACTCATTCCTCCTGGCAGTGACGTTGACCGCCACTTCTGCTAGTGCTTGCTATCTTTGAGATACATCTACTTGGAGTGTGGTCTGAGGGCTGGCTTTGCGCATGTCACCACTGAGAAGAGGGTGGGATGCCACACCACCATGGCTGATCCACTGTAGACTCGGAGGACACCTGGCTCTGAGCATTGGCCTGGGACACCTCGTTCCCCAGGCCATGAGTGCTCAGGGTTAGCTGAAGTCCCACCACTCTGGCATCATGCTTTGCTCGTTATCTCTCATGGCACTTGCCTAACAAGCCAGATGGGCATGGTGTACATGTTAGAGCTCAGTGTCTCTTTCTGTAGCTGAACCAGAAATCTGAGCACAGGAGCCACTTTCAGAGAAACTGAGAACAATCCTTCATAGGGAGTATGTGTCACACAGGTGAGTTGGCCTGACCTGAAGAGACCAGGCCGGAGGACTGGATTGCTTGCCTAGTGATCTGAGGGCTAAATCTAAAAGCTTTACTAACCTAATGTTTGATTTTTTCTTTTTTTGGTGGCTTTTTTTTTTTTTTCCAAGACAGGGTTTCTCTATGGAGCTCTGGCTGGCCTGGAACTCACTCTGTAGAGCAGGCTGGCCTTGACTTTTAGAGATCTGTCTGCCTCTTCCTCCGGAGTGCTAGGATCAAAGGCATGCACCACCACTGCCTGTCCCTAGTGTATGAAATTCCATCCAATTAAATTCTGAAGATTTTTTTCTTCAAAGGGCTCCACTCAAAGCCCAAATGATAGTTTATCTCAGGGGTCTGGGGAAGAGGCCAGCTTCCATGTGCTTGCTGCATATATATATGACTTCATTAGAAACCATCTTTATCTGTGAGTTCAAGACCAGCCTGGTCTACGGAGCTAGGTTTAGGACAGCCAAGGCTACCAAAGGTACACTGTCTTGAAAAACCAACAAACCACCTTCAGCAAAAGCTTGACTGGGTTGTGAAAGGGTGAGGAAGAGTCTTGAGCCTGTCTTTACAGCAGCCATATTGGGGGCTGAATGGTAGAGGGAAGCTGGTTAAACAGTTCTGCCCAGGGTTGCCTTCAAGGGTGGGGCTAACAAGTTCCTCTCATCTGACCTTTCATATTACATTTACTTCTTGAGTTGTTCCCCCCGCCCCACACCTCCAATCAGCAGTTATCTCAGGATAGGGACTTATTTCCTTTGTGTATTTGTGGTTCTGGGATTACCAATATGCTCTGAGATCATTTCTTTTTCCTTAGTTAGTAATAGACACCATGGGTAATTTTGAATTAGTTGTAGGTGTTCTTCAGTCTTGAAACTTTTCTAGTATCACTGAACATTTCTAGTATCACTGAAGGGGAGACTATCCTATTCAGAGTGGGGACCGGAACTTTTGGGACATGCATTCTGGAATGGCTGTTCTTGGTTGTCAACTTGACTACATCTGGAACTAACTAAAACCCAAGTGGCTTGGTATACCTGTGAGGGATTTCTCTTAATTAAACAATTTGAAGTGGGAAGATCCACTTTTAACCTGGATCTTTTGAGCTAGGAAGACCTACCTTTAATCTGAGCCACACCTTCTGGTGGCAGACTAGATAAAGGACATGGAAGAAGGAAGCTTCATCTCTGCCTGCTTACTGTTGCTCTCAATGACAAGTCCATCCCTTCACTGGCATTAGAGCCTACTTCTTTAGGATTTTGGCATATAATGAATAGCAGCTGAGACATCCACCCTCATGGGCTGAACAACTACTGAATTCTTGGATCTTCCATTGGTAGACAGCCATTGTTGGACTAACTGGACCACAGTCTGTAAGTCATCCTATTAAATCCCATATATATATATATATATATATATACATATTCATTAATTCTATTGGTTCTGTTCCTCTAGAAAACCTAAACAAAATTAAATTTGTTGTGAAGTCTTTTTGGCTAATTTGTAGATATAGTTATTTTGTTGGAAACATGCCTCAGTCAGTAAAGACTTAAATTCATTAATTTGGACCTGGGGTGCAAGGGCCTGCATTTGTTTCTGTTGTGTTTTTGAGCACAGGATGGCCTTGCACTGCTATGTAGCTAAGGATGACTTTGAACTTCTGATCCTGCCGCCTCTGTTTCCCAAGAAAAACCTGCATTTCTAAGATACTCCGTGGACAAACAATGCTGCTGGTCAGTGAACAGCACTTTGATGGCAATTCCTAGAGCTGTGGCTCTTAAAGTATGCTGTCCAGAGCAGCAGCAATGGAAACCTATCCTAAAAGCATCCTAGACTTGTAGAATGGAAACTGTGGTGTGGGGCTCTATGGCTGGTTTTTAACAAGCTCTGGGTGCTTCTGGTGCATGCTCAAGTTTGATATCATTGTCCCTGAAAGTGAATGACAGTTTATCCTTTCCTGTAACATGTTCCTGTATTTAAAAACTTCCACTGCTGAAAGCCCTCTCTTGGGTCTTGACTCAAACCTTTTTGATTAATTACTCCAGTTCTTTCAGGGTTTCTTGAAATTATCTTTTAAACTTCTTAATCATAGAACCTGAGGCCCAGAAGGAACCTTCAGATATGCTCTGCTTTTCTTTCTCCATGCTCCACACTCCCCTGTGAGTCTTGTCTATCCAGAGATTTCCAAATAAGAGGAGGAAAGCCTTAAGGTGAAAGTTAAGTTGAAGAAACAGCTTGAATCTACTAGTTACTACTATATTTTACAGATTAGTTGCCCCTGTGTCAGAGGTTTGGGTCATCCTACTAGCTTCAATTTGACGTTTAAAAATATTTTCACAATATATTATCACTTCCACTCTCACACTAGTATTTTTTTTTAGAGGATAGAGTAATGGGAAATAATAACTCAACTCTACAAGAGTTTTTTAAACAGTTTTATTGGATGTAGAATGAAATAGAGATCAAGAGAAATGTTGTTGAGGCAATTGATATGTAGGAATCAACAATTGCTGTGGGTTACTACAGAAGTGTGGGGATGAGCTGAATGGTCAGGGACTTCCAGAATTTTCTGGGGGCAGAGCAGTTTCAGAGTATGAAAGAGTCCTTGCTGTATTGAGCTTTGCAAACTGGATTGTATAGACTTTACACACTGTGAGGTTGTGATGAATAGAGACACCCTACTGATTATGTGATTGAGTTCGAGTGGGCAATTCCAGTCCCTGAGTCCATGTGTCTCATTGGCTGGGGTGTTTTCTGGTAGGACCTATATTCTCTTGTATCAGAGGACACAAACTGACTTCTTTTTGAGTAGCTAGGGGCATATTTCTTTCCCTCGCCGTATTTCTCTTTCCTGATATTGTTGGGATAGGTCACCCTACTCCCTAGTTCTAAGAGTGGTTTTCCAAGTCATCTGGCCACAAGTAGAATCTGGAGGGTCCTGGAAAGGAACCTTGGGTCTGATGCTAGAATATCCAGGCTCCGTGCTCTGGCTGTGAAACAACAGCTTTGACGTCCTACATACACTTGCTGGTGGTCCTGGCACATGTACACTGAAAACCTTGAAGAAATTCCATTTATTTATTTTTCTAGTATAGAGCTTTCAAGTTGAACAAAATGACATCTCTCCAGATAATTGTGAGAAAAGGCCTCGACAAATGCATAGCTATTAACAATTATCAAGAAACTCACAGTGGGAAATACCACGGTCAAATATTCACTCCAAAGGACTTAAGCTGTATAAATTTGGACTGACTGAACAACCCACTGATTTTGACCTAAATAAATGATTCAAGACATATGGTAACACGCTCTATCCAAGAAATTAGGCCACAGCCGTCCATCGCTCGTTTGCCTCCCCTCCTCCACCCGGCCAACTTCTAACACTGGATGTTTTCCACAGCACAGTGTGAGGTGCAGGAAAAGGCAGTCACCCAGTATTTCCACCCAAGGACAGCCATGTGCAGGTTCACTGTTGGGGATTTAAGTTCATGCCCTTCCACTCTCAAACCTGAAGAGACACTTGTGACAGAATAAGAGTATTCGGAGAACCTTAGAAAATTTAGTCAGTTTTCAGTGGTTTGGGGTTGACCTTCATCTTTGGAACATATCCAGACCCTTGTTTTTCTTTCAGTCTTTAATCTATCGTGTCCCCCCATCTCTTTTTGTGCCTTTTCACAGCACATTAGATAAATTAGGTAAATCAAATACAGAATGGGCAAAGAAAATAGCATGGGGAAAAGGGTAAAGCTACAATTTATAAAATAGCCCTGTATATCTTGGATATGGAACAAGTTTTGGTTGGAGACAATAGAGATTCTTGGCTAGAAATGTTATTTTGTTGTTTTGAGTATTGATGGGTTGAAGTGTTGGACACATCAATAGTATCTTGGACAGTGACACACACACACACACACACACACACACACACACACACACACACACATATATATTAAAGTTAAGAATGTGCATTTGGTTGTCATTTGGGTAGAATATACATGGGCCCCAAATGATTAGAATGGGAAAGACCTGTGCTGTTAGCTCCTGAATGATGAGTCAAATGGACCATTCTTTCTCCCACATCCTCTTCCCAACCCTTGATGAATCAAGACAGTGAGATCATACCTGTCCCGCGGTGTCGTACAGTCCAAGCAAGTGCTGCTTGCCTCCCACTGTCACAGTAACTAGGGGAGAAGAGAAGAGAATGCATAAACATAGGCTTCAATCAGTAGAATGTCTCATGCCAGCATCTCTCTGGGCAGGGAGGATGAGCATATGTCTCATTGGTGTATATTCTAAACCAAGTTGACAGCATAGTTTCCAAATGAAAGAGAACCTTGGACTGCAGTGACAGCAGATGGTCTGAGCCAACTCCAAATCTCTCAATGGGATAGATATTTTTGGAGTTACTCGAGTACTCTGTAGGCTGTTTGGTGACCTTTACTGGGCTCTACAATATGAAGCTCCAGCACTGTCTTTGCCTCTGAGATTCCTTTTGGGATACAGAATCAGGTAATTGGCCATTAGAGATCTCTGTGTTCTTGGGGCTGAGGAGATACCCACTGAGCAAACATGGAGACTTAACTTAGGATCCTCAGCACCCATGGAAAAGGCCAGGTGTCTGTACCTGGCCTTACATGTACCCATGTGAGCATCTGTACATGGGTACTGGGGAGAAACAGATATAGGCAGATCTCTGGAGCTCACTGGCCAGCCAGTGGAGCCAATTGGTGAGCAACAGCTTTAGTAAGAAAAACTGGAGAGTCACCAAGGAAGACATCAGAAATGAACCTCTGACCTCTTCTCCACACATGGGTACCTGCATACATATGCATGTGCATGCACACGCACCTGACCATACACTACATATACACACCTGACCATACACAATATACACACCTGACCACACACTATATACACACCTGACCATTCACTATATACACACCTGACCACTCACTATATACACACCCGACCATACACTATATACACACCTGACCATACACTATGTATATACACCTGACCACACACTATGTATACAGCTGACCATACACTATGTATACACACCTGACCACACACTATGTATACAGCTGACCATACACTATATACAAACCTGACCATGCACTATATACACACCTGACCATATACTATGTACACATACCTGATCATACATTACATATACACACATGACCATATAATACATATACACACCTGACCATATACTTTTATACACAGACCTGATCACACATTACATATACATACCTGACATACACTACATATGCACCCCTGACCATACACTACATAGATACACCTGACCATATACTACGTATACACCCTTGAACATACACGTGACCATATACATACCTGACCATACACCACATACACTACACTACACACACACACACACACACACACACACACACACACACACACACACACACACACACACACACACAATCTCCGTTTTTGTCTGACTTTGAGATATTAATACAACCCAGGTGCTGTTTGGGCATGTGGTTTTGGGTATGTGTCTTCACATACCTACAGGATGAGATGTACCCAGCAGGCTTGATGCCTTGCCAAGCAATTGTGCCCAAAGTGTGGAGTAATGTGGGAATACCAGCCGTTCTGCACATGTCTGGGAATGACACAAAGTCTCAAGTCACTGCTCAACCGAGAGGGACCAGATTGCCTACAGGAGGGATATGGTTCTCTTGGTGTATGGGAAGAACAAGGTTACATTTCCAGAAAATCCAAATCTTCCCTGGGAAATAGGGAATCAAATATGCAGGAACAACCCCCCTTAATTAAAAAGCGTGCAATGACAAAGAGAAAGTGGGTTTAATCCCCTCTGCCATCAGCTGCACAGGAAATGAAGGGCGACTGGATGATGACCTTTTAGAGCTGAATGGCTAATGTGTCAGCCTCATTCCTACCCAGCTGCTCAGGGTTGATGACTTGGTGCTGATTTTTACTTTGATTTATTTTCAGGTTGATGGGCATCATGTATGTAAAAACATTTCCCAATGCCACTCTTGGAAAAGCACTTGTTTAAAATGCATAGTCTCCCCAGATACTGGGGACTGTTTTTCTAATCCACTCAGATCCACATGTGTTCAGTTTCATAACATGACCACAGCCAGATGTGTGTTTTTAAACGTGTGTTTTTAAATGTCAAACTCAGTTCTATGAAATCCTCACTTGCAAAACTAGCTGACAGGCAGGGGTGGGACACTTGAACATTTTTACTTCTGTCCATAAGCCAGGCTAGCAATGGAAATGGAGGGGCCTAGAGCTCTTTGTCCTGTTTTATTTCCTTCTTTCTGCCCATTGGCAGAAGAGAGCCTGGGCTGATGTCCCTGAAATTGGCCTAAATGGTTTCCTTAATGACCAATTGGTTACCTAGTCATGGATCAAGAATGAATGGAAGAAATCCAGCTATTACAACATGGAATTTCCTGCCTCCAGTGAGCCAGGCATATGGAGGACAGGGCTGCTGTTCATGGGATCCTGTGCACTGCTCTGTGGCCCACAGACCCAGGTCCACTCAATAGGAGGCAAACACTAGAAGCTGAGCCATTTCAGAGGCCACACTGAATACTGCGAATATTCCTAAGCGGTGGCTGTGACCTTTGCCATTGGCATCCTGCAGGCCCAGCTTCCATTGCCCCCTTTTTCTAGAGAATAGTCATTTCCTCCAGCCTCCTTCTCTTCAGGCCACACCCCTTTCCCCCTGGCCTCTGGAACTCCAGGGCACTTCACCAGGCCTGAGACAACTGTGAGCAAGAGAGGCTGAGCCAGGAGCTGAGAATCTACAGTGTTCTCTTCCCTCTGCTTGTCTTTCTCTTCTCCAGTGATCTCTGGGCTTTCTGGACTGAGCTTAGTACTAGAAACAGACAGAGCAGATGCAGATCCACCTGTCCAGAACAAGTGAAAGGCATAGCCATGAGCAGTGTAGCATACACTATGCTCGAGGTAGCACAGAGGGCTGGGGGCATGGCTGAGGGTGCATGCATTGAAACAGTCTGCTGGCATTTGCTCAGAGAAGGCTTTCTGGTGGAGATGTCTAAGTTGAGTCTGCAAAGATGGCCCTGAGTTTCTCAGGCTGTTGTGGCTCTCTTACTCAGCCTTTATTTTGAAGGCCTTTTCAAGCTCTTAAAGGGTTTTTTGGCTAAGGAAATAGAAAGGAAAAGAACAAAGAGAACTTCCTTGGGTTAAGGGAGAATGGTTGTTTAGGATAGGGGAGGATACCATTGTTGGCATGGAAATGGGGTGAATTTTCAGCGTTGCTGTCAATGGTGGCTTGCTCGGCTAGCCCTTCAGGAGGGATGCTAAAAGCAGGACTTAGAAATTGTGTCTCTGTCTTTGAGAGTCACTTTAGTCCCTCTTCCCTGTTTCTGCTAGAGGACATCAAGGAACATCAGAGACAGAGGCCAGCATCAGTTGCACAAGACATGGCTTTATGAATCCTAGACCAGCAGTGGATGTCTTATTGCTTGCCAACTTGTGTCCCATGAGGCTCTACAACCTGGCAAGGAATTAGTCACAACTCCATGGAAGGAAGGTGCTGCCACCAAGAGCTGATCATCATGAAATGAGGTCACAGCATGGTTGCTCACCCCAGGTCAGTCTGCCTTTGATTTCTACCATTGCTTTTCATCATTGGAGTGACCCTGGGGATATCACTAGCACCCCTAAGTCCTGTCTTCCTTTTTTTTTGTTAAAAATGGAGACCCACATTTTTAGAATATGGTAGAAGGAGAGAACTGACTACCACAGGTTGTCTTCTGACCTCCATGTGTGTACTGTGGCATACTTCTTTCCATAAATAATAAATGTAACAAGATTACAAAATGGGTTCATAGAATATTTGCGAGAAGGACATGTGATGATGAAATATCCAGCATACATCCTTGTTCACAGTAGGTGCTGGATGTATCCAACAATTGCATATTTAGTTCATTCTGAGGACAGGGGGCAGTCTGTCTTTCTTTCTACGAGTACCTAGTGCATATGAACTGTCACATAATGGGAAACTTAACTGTGAGCCACTAGTTACTTTCTGCCCTAAATTGATAGCTGTTTGAATCTGTCTTATGTTCTCAATGAGGGCAGAGTCCCCACGCCCAGCACAGACTCTGCTATATGAAGCAGATATTGAATACTTGGGACAGAAACTGCACAGGGTCCACTCCTTGTCATGGAGACAAGGGTCCTTGGGACTGTGCAGGGCTGTGGCTAGATCTTCCCTGGCTAAACACTGACCACAAAGCTACCAGGAAGGCCATATCCAGGTTGTCTTCCAGAGGCCTTCTATTCTGGGAGCTTTTAGAGTTGTTTTCTAAACTGGTTGTCTCAAGAAAGTGGGAAACTCACAGAAACAGCTGACCTGAGCAAGTGGGAACTCATGGACCCCAGTCTGATAGCTGGGGAACAGCATAGGACCTAACCAGGTTCCCTGAGCATGGGTGTCAGTTGGGAGGCCTGGGCAGTCTGTGGGGCCTCTGACAGTGGAACCAGTTTTATCCCTAGTGCAGGAATGGGCTTTGGGAGCCCATTCCCTATGGGGGTTTACTCTGTTAGCCTAGATACATGGAGGAGGAGGACCTAGGCCCTGCCCCAGATGATGTGATAGACTTTGATGATCCTCCATGGGAGGCCTCACTGTCCCTGGGGAGTGGATGGAGGGTGGGATGGAGGGTTGGTGGGGGGATGGGAGGACAGGGGGGAGAGGGAACTTGGACTGGTATGTAAAATGAGATTGTTTTATATTTAAATAAAAATTTATAATACAAAAAAGAAAGTGTGAAAAGTTGACCACGGCCTGTTAAGTAGGTAGAAATGAAGACTTTCCTGCGCTTCCTTGTGTTGGTTCTGGGGTGAATTGGAGAGTTCATTTCTTGAGGCATGGAAACCAGGATACAAGTTTTCACTCTTGAGGGTCATTAACTGAACCCAGAGAGAAAATAGCCCAGGCAGGACTCAGGCCTCTTTCCCTCTGCAATTTACTCTCTTAAAACTGTGTCATTTGCAAATGCATAAGTTCTCTGGCCATCCAAGCCATAGGTGGAGTGATGGTGTGAGGGACTGGGTTCAAAACCTCTTCCTTGTTGGGTGGTAGCTGTCTCGGCAGCACAAAGTAGTCTTCTGAAGTTCAGTGTGATGACAGATTCTAACAGTGGAAATGTCAGCTCAGGGGAAGTTCCCAGGGTGCAGCTTATGTCCAGTGTACTCTCTCAGTGGTGGGCTAAAGCCTGTGTGTGGTGTGGGTAGCACCACAGGAGTGCTATTTTTGGAGGAAGGAATACTAACTTTTAGATCCAGTAAAAAATGGAATTTTAAGAGAGTTAAACAAGTGGCTCTCTGTTCATGTCAAAGATTTATGAACTGATGAACAAGTGTCCAAGACTGCTTTGCAGAGCAGTGGGAAGGCTGAGGCAGGAGGATCAAGAGTTCAAGGCTAGTCTGTGCTATGCAGCAAGTCCTTGCCAAAAAACCAAACCAAACAACAACAACAAAAAACCCCAAAACCAAAAAACAAACAACAAACCAGAACAACAACAACAAAAACAAACCAAAACAACAATCCTATCCCTCCCAAAGGCTGAGCATGTTCAACACCTATCTCAAGCCTCCTAAGTGTGTGTGTCCATTTTATTAAGGGGCAAGTTCAGAGGTATCAGCCATGAAATCTTCCCAAATATCTATTAGGGAGCAGTTAGTACAAAGCTGGACATAAACACTGCTTCCTGAATATAAGTGGTGGCAGATTCCCTTGAGTGTGTGTGTGTGTGATGTATGAGGTGTGTGTGTGGTGTGTGTGTAATGTATGGGGTGTGTGTGTGCTGTGTGTATGTGTGTATATGTGTGTATGTGTGTGTGTGTGTGTGGTGTGTGTGTGTATGTGTGTATGTGTGTGTGGTGTGGGGTGTGTGTACATGTGTGTGTGGTGTGAGTGCATTTGTGTGTGTGTATGTGTGTATGGGGTGTGTGTATGTGTGTGTATATGTGTGTGTTGGGTGTGTGTGTATGTGTGTGTATGTGTGTGTGGTATGTGTGTGGTGTGTATGGTGTGTGTGTGGGGGTATGTGTGTATTTGTGTGTGTGTGTGGTATGTGTGTGGGGGTGTATTTGTGTGTGGTGTGTGTGTATGTGTGTATGTGTAGTGTGTGTATTTGTGTGTGTGTGTGAGTGTGGTGTGTATGGTGTGTGTGTGTGTGTGTGTGTGTGTGTGTTTTGCTCGTCTTTCCAATGCCTGCCTGGCTCTCAATGCTGCCTGTGTCTCTTCCTGCAGTCCTGCTTCAGCTCATCTGCACCTGCTTGCCTCAGCGGCTCATTTCCTTCCTGTCAGGGTGTCTCTTCTTACTGGAGATCAGGCTGTATGTATGTGTGAAACAAAGGTCTCTGGGGGAAGTCTCTGATTTAAAAGATGTGTCAGCTCAAGGGGAAAAACGCAACAGGCGTTCTGAGAATTCCCTGGGATTCCAAGTAGAAGGCTTTGTTTTTATTTCTCCCCGCCCCCCCCAGGCTGCTCTTCAACTCACTCTATAGCTGAGGATGGCCTTAAATTCCTGATTTTCCTGCCCCTTCTGGAATTACAGATATGTGTCATCATTTTCCTCGCCCCCCTTTTTTTTTTCAGGGATTCTCTGTGTAGCCCCAATTGTCCCGGCACATGCTGTACAGACCAGGCCAACTTTGAACTCAGAGAAATCTGCCTGCCTCTGACTCCTGAGTGCTGGGATGAAAGGTGTGCAACAGTACCACCTGGCTCTGCCTCCCCATCTTGAAGGTCTGCATATCTACTCTAAGATAATTAGAGTCCCATTCAAACAGGGAACAATACAACTGCCATGCCTTGTCTGGCCTTGGCTGTGTTTCTCTTGCCTCTTAGCAACATCTGTTGTGGCCAGTGATGATGGCTTGTATTGAGTCATTTTCTAAATTCCCTGGATTTTAAGGTGAAGAACTAATTGGAGCCCTGGACTCACTGGGAACAAACGCTGGGACCTCGAGCTGATCCTCCAAATTTCTTATTCGAAAATTGAGGAACAAAGATGGTCAGGATAGTGATTTTGTATTCTGCAGATTCCAAGGGTGTGGTGTGGTGTTACTGAGCAAACACCTTCTCAACAAACAGTATTTGGGGAACTGGGCTTTCTGGAAAGATTTGTCACCATGGTTCTGGGTGTGGGGTGGATGCACAGGAAAAATATTCTCTTGTCAGTATTTATTTGATGAAGAAGGAAAAGGGGGTGGGTGGGAGGAGAGGAGGAATGGGAGGAGCTCTAGACTCAGCTGATGGAGATCAGGGGATGAGACCAAGCCAAACAAAGAGCCAGGCAGCTGCATTCCAGCATGTCAATGTCAGTCTTGCTTAGCCCCACCCTTCCTTCTTTAGTATTTCTTTGGAGTCCACCTCTCCCAGCTCTACCCCCTAGATAGCTGTAGGCTCTGAGTCTTTTTTTTTTTTTTTAACATCCTTATGGCTGTCCCCATGCAGGCCCCATCCTGTCACTTGGAAAAAAATCCTAATTGGTGCCCTAGTCTTCAGGCATCCCTTTCAGTGCTTCCTCAATGGCCCCAGAGTAAGTGCAAAGTGAAAGCCAAATACCTTGTAAGAGCATATAAGATCCTGGTCACCAGCCCCTGGATCCCCTTCTTCATTCTCTTCCAGGCCCAGGATTGATCAAATGCTTTTGAAATGTGTTGTACTCAGGATGCCTTCCTTGGAGCCCTTTCTTTGGGATGATGGGAAGGAAGTTCTGGGATACTTGCCCTACACTTAGCCTGGAAAAATCTGCTTTTCTAAGCCCTTCCAACCCTTCAGAAATCTAAAACTATTTCCATGCTTGCTTCCTTTTGGGTCAGAAAGGAATTTGCATTATTAAACCGGTTTCTGGGCCTTTTATTTTGTCTGTGTGTTTTCATATGTATGCTGGTGCACTTACGTGTATTTGGGTGTGTGTACATTTGTATGGAGGCCACAGGAAACCTCAACTACTGTTTCTTAAGAAGTATCCATCTGCTTTATTCTCTGAGAGGGCTTGAATATCTCTCACTGGCTTGAATATCACCATGTAGGCTAAAGTGCCTGTCTCTGCCTCCTAGAGTTTGGGTATGAGCATGTACCAACATGCCCAGCTTTTTAATGTAGGCTCTGAGTACCCAACTTGGCTGTTCTTGCAAAGCTAGCATTTTATTGACTGAGCCATCTCCTGAGCCATGGCCAGCTATTATTTATTCTCATGTCCAGATGCTAGCAAAGCTCAGGTATGTGCTACATACATATTGGCCGAGTGGCTGAAACATACATTAAACTCCAACCAAACTGAAGGTTTTCTCTGAGGCATCTTTGGTATTTTCCAAAAGGTCACCGTGAACTTTGCTGGACACTGAATGGCAGGATGGAGTAGCTTGTCTGACGCCCTGCACTGCAGCTTGTCCACCTGTTGTGAGGGATGCCATGGAAACCTGGCCTCCCTGGGTGCATCTGTGCTCATGGTGGTCCTCCAATTTGATAACTAACAGTGGCAGATGCATTTCTGCCAGTAGGACGGGACCACTGACCATGTGTTCTGAAGTTCCCACATACCAGAGAAGCCTGGATTTAGGCATAAAATAAGAGGAACTAAGACAAGTTTATAGGTGAAATCTGTATATGGGGACCATGACCCACAAATCAGAGTGTACTTTTTGTAAGGTTCTCTGTACAGAGAGACCCTTTAGAAATACCCACTCGCCCTTTTCATCAGCACAGTGAGTGCTGGGAACTAATTGTAGCTAAGTTGTTACTGAAGCACAGGAATACACTTTCTAGTTTAGCCTTGACTTTGATTTTGAGATCTAAATTTTTGTAGCAGTCACCAGGGGGAGTAGTTTTAACCCCCCTTAATGTTCTGAGGATGTAGGTCTGCATCAATATCCAGGTCTCTTGGGAAGTGACTCTGCTCTGATCCCAGTCCCCTCATCATTAAGATTAGTGTCATGGTAACTCGAACACTCTACTGTCCTGCCCACTTGGCAGGTTGTCAGAATACTGGTTGAATCCCATGCAAGGAAACCTTTGGATGCACAAGGTGCTCCATTGCTGTCATTTCTATTTATCATGTCTGCATGTTTATCATAATACAGAAACAGTGACCTAGAGGCAACAGCCTTCTCCTGTCTTTGTCAAGCAACAGTCACTCAGGACATTCAAACACCTTGGTGGTGACAGAAGAGTACCAGTACGTTCCTTTTAAGAGCTTTGTAAGAATTACTAGGCTCATAAAAATTCTATCAGGTACTGGTTATAACAAGTTAGGAAATATGTGAAAATAGCCTTTTCACAACACACAAATACACACACACACACACACACACACACACACACACACTTATAAAGTGTCCTGTAGTGTGGAAGATGTTCACGGGGACAAACAGCACAATACTTGACATACCTAAAGGGAGAGAAATTCTGAGATAGCCCATGTTTTGGATGAGAAGTTCCACACTGGGAAGATGTCAGAGCTCCTCAATTTAATTTGTTCAAGAATTTTTGAACGGTGGGTATGACAAGTGACTATGTGACTATACTGAGTATGAAAACCTAATTTAGAGACAACAACTAATAATGAAAAATATATATTATGAGATGCATGTTAGTATATTCTGCAAAATTCCACTAAAGAAGTGTCATTCCAGTGCGAGGGTTAATAAGATAGAATAAAATGATCAGACTCAGTGTTACATATGTAAGGTTTCAGTTTTTGATAGATGACATTTTAAATCAGTAGGGAAAGGTGAATTCTTCCATTATTGAGTTTAGATAGCCGATTACCATTTGGAAATAAAGAAAGGACTTAAAATTATAAAAGCAAAGAAAGAAAACCATAGGGAAATGACTGATAGATTTAAACACGAGCCTGTAGGCGCAGGCTCTACACAATGCCCATAATGAAAGAAATAGCTTATTTTTTGTATATGAGTGCACTTTCTTTTTAAAAAGTTACTTTATTTGCATATGTGCATGTTTGTATGCGCACATGTGTGTGGGTACTTGAGGAGTCCAGAAGAGGCCGTCGGGTCTCTTGGAGCAGGTGTTCCAGATAGCCACCGATTGCCCTGTGTGAATGCTGACATCTGAATTCCAGTCATCATGATTGAGTAGCAAGCTTTTCTAGCCACTGAGACATTTCTAGCCCCAAGCATGCTTCAAAAATTTATCATTTGGGCTGGAGAGATGGCTCAGAGGTTAAGAGCACTGGTTGCTCTTCCAGAGGTCCTGAGTTCAATTCCCAGCAACCACATGGTGACTCACAACCATCTGTAATGCAATCTGTTGCCTTCTTCTGACCTGGGCAAGAGCACTGTACACAATAGATAAATAAATATTTAGAAATATTAAAAATTATCATTATTTTATATATATGAGTGTTTTACCAGCATGTATATATGTGCAGTGTGTGTGTGTGTGTGTGTGTGTGTGTGTGTGTGTGTGTGTGTGTGTGTTGCCCATGGAGGCTGGAAAAGGGCATAGGATACCCCCCAACCATGGAACTGGAATTATAGATGGTTGTGAGCCACCTTGTGGGTGCTTGGAACTGAACCCAGGTCCTCTGCAACAGCAGCAAGTACCCGTAACTGCTGAACCATTTTTCTAGCTCCTAAACCATACTCTCTAATCAATAATAATTACTTCTAAAGGACAGAAGAATGTAGACATTTGACTAAAATAAAAAGGAACAATGAATATTCAAGTCAAAACTTTCAATTAAAGATAATCAATCTTTGGCCCATTGATTGACAATGATAAATAAAGTGGTAATTGTCAGCTGAGTGGTACATGTCTGTAATTCCAGTTACTCAGTAGACTGAGTCAGAAGGTTTATAAGTTCAAGGCCAGCCTGGCAAAAAGAGTGCAGTGACAGTGCTTTTGTAGGCCTAACATGTTGAGGCCCTGGGTACTATCCCCAGTGAAACACACAACACACACACACACACACACACACACACACACACACACACTCACACTAGAGAGAGTGCTAGTACTTCCAAGATCTTAAATATGTGGGTGCTCACACACTGCTGAAGAAAATGTAAATTTGCTCAAGATTTTCTGGAACGCTGTTTGATGATAGATGTAAAGCCCGAGCATGAAATCTAATTTTTTTCCTCTGGCTCAACACTCTTTTCAGGAATATGTTTCAAGAAACAGTCATACAAGTGAATAATAATGTATACATAAGAATATTCATCACCAGTGTGTTTATAACAACAAATGGCTGGGAGAGGGCTAAAATGGTCCACAATCAAGACCTGGTTCTCATCAGTTACAGTGTACCCTCACAAAGGAACCTGGTAAGAGTGATGAGGAGTGCGGTGAGCCTGAGGACATCATGCTTAGAGAAGCAGGAGAAGATACCACACTGCTTCCATAAAATATGCATGCAGCGATCTCCTTTTCATGCTTGTTACTGTGGACATGTGAAATGATCTTAAAACACAGCTGAGTGCTCTGGAATTGGGGATATTTCTTCTGTTGTAATGGCTGCCTACAGACGGGCTCGGATGTCATCTAAGTCTCCTCTTGTCAAACTGTGTGCCTTCTGAGTTCCCTTTAAAGCTTTTGTGTCAGGCACATCTGGATTCATTTTAGGTTGTAGATGGAGCCTGCATTTTTATGAGGAGAGAGTGTGAGAGTAGGTCTGCCATGGTGTTCTCTGGCCTTCAGTGTAAGCCATGTCTCTCAGAGGACTATGGCAATCCTCAAATCTCTACCTGCACTTGCTTTTCGAAGAGACCCAGGAAGCCTTGTGTGTCTGAGAGTGCTGGGATCTCCTGACCTGTGCTGACAGGAAAACTGAACGTGTACGAGCTATAGAGGCCATTTTGGGAAGCTAAGTACATTCACCATCTGGGCACAGTGGTGAGAGAATGAACCAGGTGAGAGAATGTTCGGTGTTTCTCTTCTCTTCACCTTCTTCTCTGAAGTGTTGCAAGATCATATGGAGAACACGAGGCCATTTTCTTCATCGTTGCTATCCTTAGATTAATGTTTCCACTCTCCTCTTTGTTATGCAGAATTTGGGGATTTATGTATTTGTGTTTTTTACTTTGTTTTATTTATCTTCATCTAATATTCCCAATGGAACAGGGCTTCCTTTCAAGTAACAAATAAGGAGTTCTTTCCAAGGTAAAAAAATCCTTATGGTATACTTCTTAATATATGTCAAGAAATGTGAATACTAAGTAGCCATTTTCCTCAGTGCTACCATACACTGTATTTATTCCCTGTGTGAAATAAGGCATATTAGAGACTCTAAAGAAATGAACAGAAATACAAATATTTACCAATTAACATTTGATGGGTGATTACAGTGGGAGGATGTATGTGCATATACATCCATATATCTAGATATACATGTGACAATTGTATGTGTGTATATGTCTATATATCTAGACATATATGTGACAATTGGAGCTAAACATTTTCAGATGCTACCTGTAACAAATACATGGGAGGTCATTATCCCTTGTAACTTTATTATTAAGTATATTCTTTGAGTTTGTATGCGGTAAACACCACATTTATGTCCTTGTCCAGATATTTTTCTCCTAATTGTTTTCCCCTAAACCATCTAAAGCTAAACATGTCAGTTCTATCTAAGCATGTTTCTCAGCCACACAGGACACCCAGAGAGGCAGTCATATGAGGAAAGGAGCAGAGCCAGTGAGGGATGCCTGACTGTTAGAGTACTTTCTTTCCTGGCAGGAGGGAAAGAGGAAAGATGATAAACTCTTTAAAATGTAACCCTTCTTGCATCCCTGATATATTTATAATACAGACATTCACCTCCCACCCCAACCCCCAGGCCAACCTATTGTTTTCTAAACTTGCTCATT